CAAAGTGTTGGTGCTGACCTTTAAAGCCCTAAACGGCCTCAAAGCCCCAGTAGACCTGAAGGAGCGTCTCCACCTCCATCATTCTGAGGTCCAGCTCCGAGGGCCTTCTGGCGGTTCCGTTGCTGCGAGAAGTGAGGTTACAGGGAACCAGGCAGAGGGCCTTCTCGGTAGTGGCGCCCGCCCTGTGGAACGCCCTCCCACCAGATGTCAAAAAGAAAAATAACTACCTGACTTTTAGAAGACATCTGAAGGCAGCCCTGTTTAGGGAAGCTTTTAATGTTTAATAGGTTATTGTATTTTAGTGTTCTGTTGGAAGCAGCCCAGAGTGGCTGGGGAAACCCAGCCAGATGGGCGGGATATAAATAAATTATTGTTGTTGTTATGATGATTATGATTATGATTATTATATAAGAAGTGGTGACTAGCTCACGGTCACCCTGTGATTTGAACCCTGGTCTCACGCTATCCATTCTTCTTTGGTGATCACTCGTAGGGGAGTAAGATTGTCTTCCATGAGCACAGTCTTAACAGTGAGTCCATAAGTGACTGTGGAGGCCAATTCTGGATCCATCCACACGTCCTTCCACAGTGGGGACATAGGTTTCCGGGCAGGAGTTGATCACGGTGAGGCTTTGCCAAGCGTGCCTTCCTCTTAGCACGTTTCTCTCTTGCGTCCTGAGTTCGAGCATCTTCAAAGCCCACGACACCTTTGGTCAAGGCTGTTCTCCAACTGGAGCGCTCACAGGCAAGTGTTTCCCAATTGTCGGTGTTTATACTACATTTTTTTAGAATTGCCTTGAAAGAGTCTTTCAACCTCTTTTGTTGACCACCAGCATTACACTTTCCATTTTTAAGTTCGGAATAGAGTAGTTGCTTTGGAAGACAATAATCAGGTATTCGCACAACATGACCAGTCCAACGAAGTTGATGTTGAAGAATCATTGCTTCAACACTAGTGATCTTCACTTCTTCCGGTACACTGGCATTAGTTTGCTTGTCTTCCCAAGGGATGTGTAAAATTTTTTTGAGACACCCTTGATGGAATCTTCCGAGGAGCTGGAGATGGTGTTTACAATTGGTCCACGTTTCACAAGCATATTCATTACGCCACATTGGCTCACAATGGGTTGAATTTATGTTCCCCTGCTCTTTCGGTGGTACAAGTTCTGCAAGGTTCAAGGGGCATTGCCGGCAGGTGGCTGGGATTTGCATGTAGGGAAATGGGGGCCCATGGCACACCAAATCCATTCCCAGCCCATTGCACATCCCGTTTTAGCCATACCACTGGCTGCAGCTCAATAGTATAGGACCTTTCCACACAAAAGGTCCAGGTTCCATCCTTGGGTTATCTAGGTAAGACTGGGAACGTCCCTAATCTGATACCCTGGTTTATGTATCTCTCTCTGCGTGTGACCTGCTTATGCTTCCTCCACCTTCAGTCCTCTCTGGTCCTGGGAGACAGTGAAGAAGTGGAGGTGAGGGGGGGAGGAGGAGGTGTGGAAGGCCCTAATTCTGCACCAGTTTGGCCAGTCTCTCCCTCCTGCACGCATTCTTCACTCTCCAATCCTGCAGCTTCTCCTGACTCGGATTCTCTCTCATTTTTTAATATAATTTTTATTAGTTTTTTTTAACATATCATTTTCAACAGTAATTAAACATACTTTTACATCTTATTCAAATTTTTGACTTCCATCAATCCTGTCTGAAAATTTTCCAATCTCATCTCTCAGTATGCATTTCTTATCTTCCCTATGACATTTCAAACTCATAACCAATATCTCTATCTTTTTCTACTTTGTAACACTTCGTATATTTCTTCTTACAAAACTTCTTGTAGTCCTACTAGCGTAATTTGTTGATTACAGTTGCTCTTCAAATAATTCATATACTTCTTCCAATCTTCTGTAAATCTCTGGTCCCGCAGGTTTCGAATCCTTCCTGTCATTTTGTCCAATTCTGCATAGTCCATTAATTTCGTCTGCCATTCTTCTTTCGTCGGAATTTCTTCTTGTTTCCATTTCTGGGCTAACAATACTCTTGCCGCAGTTGTTGCATATAAGAACAATTTAACATCTTGCCTTCTCCTGCCTCTGATTCTCGTCTCTCGTCTGTTCCAGGTTCACCCGGATCACGGATCCCTTCTTCTAAGTCAGTCCTCAACCCCCCTGCTCCCGGTGTCCACTCCTCAGTGTCCAGCCAGTCGCTGACACCCTTCCACAGCACGTCAGCAGCAGTATATAAATACCTGCCACCAATCATTCAGAGGAAAGCTCACACGGCTGTCTCTATCTCTGTGGCCTCATGTCGCACCTACTTAGAGCACACAAGGAGGGATTTTTGGTGGTGATAACTATGGGAAAAGGGTCCTTGGCACAATGAGATAAGCACAAATGTAGGAAGAGCACATTGCTAATACTTATATTTTCCAAAACCTTGCAGCTGGGCTGGGGAACCTATGGCTCTCCAGATCTTTCTAGACTTGCACCCCCATTATTTGCAACCATTGCTTATGCCAGCCGGGGATGATGAAGGTTGCAGTCCCACCACAACATCTGGAGGTGAGTAAGAGGAGACATGAGAGAAGTTTATAAAATTAAGTCCGGCATGAAGAAAGTAGATACAGAAAAGATTAAAGAAATGGGTGAGAGCAGGAGTCTTGTCGGCATCAATTAATTAAGCTGGGTAGGTATTTTCAAACATCAAAATACAATGATGGGGGCAGCTTCATCTGTTGACATTCTGCATTGCTTGTGTGCCGCACCCCTGATTTACTTTTGGGCTCTAACCCCTCTCCCACCTGCAAAAAGAGGACACACATTTTTTTAAAAATAAATAATTTTTATTTATTTTCCAACATACATTTATGATATCATAAGAGGACACACATTTGCGTATGACTTAATGTGTATGCAAACTTTATGCCATTCTGAGTCTTTTTTGCAAGTGTGCAGATTGCTCAAGTCATGTGCACATGTAGAGTGGTACCTCAGGTTAAGTACTTAATTCATTCCGGAGGTCCGTTCTTAACCTGAAACTGTTCTTAACCTGAAGCACCACTTTAGCTAATGGGGCCTCCTGCTGCCGCTGCACCGCCGGAGCACGATTTCTGTTCTCATCCTGAAGCAAAGTTCTGAACCCGAGGTACTATTTCTGAGTTAGCGGAGTCTGTAACCTGAAGCGTATGTCACCTGAAGCGTATGTAACCCGAGGTACCACTGTATTTGTTTATCTGTGGGCGTGGCCATTTCCCCTTTATCCTTGAGTTTTCTGATACTGTATATCAGACTTATATAAAAAATGGGTTAATTAACAAAAACCACAGGTGTGTGTCGCTGCTGGAACCCAGCAGTAGCCCACCCTCCCTGAGTTCCAAAACCTGGAGGTTCATTGTCAGCATACCCCTCAATTAAATGGAAGTATGGGATGCCACTTGGATAAGAACAGGGATCGGCAACCTAAGGCTACATAAAGGACCGAACCTCATTGCAATGTGTTACTTTGTTACTTTGTAATGTTATCTTACTGTACAGTCAAACCTCGGTTCTTGAACGGCTCTCTTTTCAAACATTTCAGCTCCTGAACGCGGAAAACCCAGAAGTAAATGCTCCGGTTTTTGAACATTTTTTCGGAACCCGAATGTCTGGCGTGGCTTCCGTTTTGAGTTTCCCTATTGAATTGAGGCTTCTGCTTTCTGTTTTTGGATATTTCGGAAGTCAAACAGTTTTCTGGAATGTATTACTGTACATTAGAAAACCGAGGTTCCACTGTAACTGGTATTTAAGACTGTTCTACACAATGCTGAACTGCTCTAACAGGGTCATGCAGAAGCAGCGATCTCCACAGCAGCTGTCACTGCACCCCCCTGCAGAATCCCACTGCTGCAAATGCCTGTTTCAGTCTTCCAGTGTGAGCCAGTGTGGTGTAGTGGTTAAGAGCGGTAGGCTCGTAATCTGGGGAACCGGGTTCGATTCCCCGCTCCTCCACATGCAGCTGCTGGGTGACCTTGGGCTAGTCACACTTCTCTGAAGTCTCTCAGCCCCACTCACCACAGAGGGTTTGTTGTGGGGGAGGAAGGGAAAGGAGAATGTTAGCTGCTTTGAGACTCCTTAAAGGGAGTGATAAAGCGGGATATCAAATCCAAACTCTCTCTCTCTACTCTCTCTCTCCTTCCTTCTGGTCTGGCAGCCCTGTGTGGGATGCACTGGATCCACTTTAGACTGCTAGGAAAGTTAGTTCAGGCACTACTTTCATGTCTGCAGGATTAAAGACTGAAAGCGAAGAGGAGTTTCTCCCAAACAAAAGATTACTGTAATGTCTGTACATTTTGTCTTATATCTCAAGTTCTATCACTACTAGAAACTTACCTCTATCTTTAAAAAAAAATAAAAAAAAATTACAGCTGAGAATTGGAGGATTGTGGGGTTTTTCTGCAGGGGAGGGTGCAGCTGCAGCGAAGACAGATGGGAATAATTTCTCTAGTTTCTCTGCTATCTCCTTCTCCTTTTGCACACCGTTCATCCTTGCCAAGTTAGGCAGATCACTGCACAAAGACATTTCCCCCCCCCCCAATTTTTTTTATTGGTTTTCACAATATTATAAACAAACAAACAAACAAACACATAAGACAAACAACCATAAATCACAGCCTTATTGAAAATTACACTTATTAACTTTGTTAAGTGACTTCCCCGCTTCTCCTTGGTTGAATTTCATTGCATATCCTTTTAAGAGGACAATTATTTTTTTTAGATGTTTAAACTAAAAAAAAAAAGGAATGTTTCGTGAGAAATAAGGCCTGAGTGTTGATTTTATTTTATTTTTAGGGCACAAAACTCCTCTGAGTGTAGGGGGCGTGTTGGCTGGGAAATACCCGCAGCCCTGGAGGAATCGCTTCTCCCTTTCTCAAAATGGCTTCTCTTCTAGGCAGTCGAACCCGGAAGCCTCCCTGGCCGGAAAAGGAGGCGGCCGCTCTCTCCGTCCTTCTCTCCGCGGCGGAGGCGAGAGGCAGCGCTTCCGGGTCAAGGCTTGACCTTGTCCGCCCGTGCCCTCCCGGCCGCGCTCAAGATGGCGGAGGCGCCCTACAAGCCGGCGCCCCTCTTCCCGCGCCCGCCCCAGCTCGACCCGGCCCAGTACGACGCCTCGCCCCAGCAGCGCGCCGCCGAGGCCGAGCGCGTCGCCATCCGCTCCCGCCTCAAGCGCCACTACCTGCTGGAGCTCAACGACCCCCGGAGGACCAGCATCGTGAGTGGGGCCAGTCGGGGGGCCAGGGCAGCGCGGCCCAAACTGCGGTCGGACTACAACTCCCATCACTCCTTGGCCCTGGTCCTGGCAGCGAGGGATGATGGGAGTTGTAGTCCGACCGCAGCTGGAGAGAGACCCCCAGGTTTGGGGAAGAAGGCTGCTTTAGGGCCTTGGGGACCCCTAAGCTCAGTTTAAAATGAAGGCAAGAGAAGGAAACGGGGGGGGTGCAGGGGGAGAGCATTTTCTGAACTCCCAGTCAGCTGCAAGTTTGAATAATAATAATAATAGTAGTAGTTTGTCATTGTTTGGGAGAAAAGCAATGACAGGCCTAGACAGCGTCTTAAAAAGCAGAGACATCACCTTGCCAACAAAGGTCCGTATAGTTAAAGCTATGGTTTTCCCAGGAGTGATGTATGGAAGTGAGAGCTGGACCAT